TCACCGGCATAGACACCCTGCTCTCTTTAAGGCAGCAACGCCGGATTTGGGAATGAAGGCAGTTGGCTTGCGCCCGTGGGTAGTGCGCTTCTGCCCTCCTGGGACGTCTGATACGTTTAGGTCGCTGTAAGCAAATGCCAAACGAAGCAGCACTCGATCGACCAGCGGAGGCAAGTCTGGCGGTGGCTGTGCCGAGCAGTCCTTCATCTTCAACTTCCAACTGATCTGCATCATCATCAAAGCTCACCTGAGACATGGGAGGTCGCAAAGGCTCGAGCACATGTGGCCATGCTGAGGGGGCGACACCCGCTGCTGCTCTTGACTTTGGGACGAAGGCTGTGGCTTTCCGAGATTTGGCGGATCTTTTGGGTGCGTCTTCGCCATCTTCTTCACCGTCCTCTGCGTCGAGCTGTTCCGCAGCTTCATTGAAGCCAACCTGCGCCAAATGTTACGCAGCCCTTCTCTTGTCTTGCTGCGCCCTGCCTGGCCAACACGGGCCTTGGACTTAGGCACGAAAGAAGTGGCTTGGCGTCCATGGACTGACCGCTTCGGCGTCTTCTCGACCTCAACCTCTTCAACATCCTCATCCTCTTCCTCAAAGTTCACCTAGGGCACGAAGCACAACTACCATTAACCCTTCAGCCAGCCACATCCAAACTGAATCACTGCTTGGGCTGCCACGGCAGAAGCCTTTCCCTTGGACTTTGGCACGAAGGCTGTGGCCTTACGCCCGTGAGTAGTTCTCTTGGGCACATCATCTTCCTCCTCCACTTCTACCTCGTCATTATTCTCTTCGAAGTAGACCTTCAGTGGATCCAAAGTCTGCTGTGCTGATACGACTCTTGACTCATGACTGAGAAGTGTTGCCTTGACTAAAAGCGAGAGCTCGGGCCCATGCGCCACTCTGGCTCGGTGCCTTTGGCACGAACGCGGTAGCCTGCCGTCCCTTCACCTTCCTCTGGGGAGTCTTGTCCACTTCCACCTCCTCCACATCATCTTCCTCTTCCTCGAATTCTACCTGGTGTGATGGGGCCTTCCCGAGTCCCTTGCCACACGTTCCTCTGAGTGACGGACGCTGGCTGATGCCTTCGCCGTCTTTTTCGGCACAAATGCAGTGGCCTTGCGGCCATGGACAGCACGCTTCGGGCCAGCCGAATCCTCCACTCAAAGAGTCATCTTTGATTCCCGCGCACCAGTAGGCACCACGTCAAGTCCACGCCACTGAAACTTGTTGAGGTGCCGAGTGTCAGAAACTAAGCATGCTCACCGACAGTGTTGCACGGTCCTCCTCTTCCACCTCAATGTCCTCAGCATCATCGTCGAAGTTGACCTGAGCAATTCTGAAGGGCCACACCCCAGGGTGCAAGCTACGTGAAGACGTGAGAAGGCTCAACGCAAATGTGGAAACAGGGACTTGGCATCTTGCGTCAGCGTTTGCCTTGTTAGGCACAAAGGCCGTTGGCTTTCGTCCATGGACCTTTCTCTTTGGCGTCTTATCAACCTCGACCTCTTCTGCGTCATCATCATCCTGAAACCCGACCTGCGCGACAACGGCCATGCGCGGCGCCTATCTCACGGCGCATCTGCATCTGCCATGCCCCGGCCCCCTTGACGGGCGCCGCCGCGAAGGCAGTGGGCTTCCGAGACTTCACCTTTCCTTTGCATCACGTTCTTACGCGAACAAAAAGGCGAGGTGTGGACACAGGCAGGGGATCAAGTGGCAGGGATCAACGACTTGCAACACCTGACGAGATCTGGCAACATGTTGCAACACTGGCAGCCCAGAAGCTTGATGGTTCTTCACCTCAGACCACATTCCAAAAAGCAGGCTAGCGGCAGTGGCAGCAGGCGGCAGTGGCGGCAGCACCCAGCCGCAGTACAACAAATGCCATCTGCCAAGTGAAAGCTACCTGTTGCACAGAAGTTAAGTGCGGAACTGTCTTTCCCGTTCATCAATCGCCCGTCAATCTCTACCACCTTCAGCTCTGTGCAGCTCTCTGCAAGGACTCTCGGGGGCGCAGCGGTGATAGTCGCTGAGGTGAAGGCACTCTCGCGGGTTCGGAAGCACACCCCTCTTCTTGAGCCCTTGGCCCATCATGAGATAACTACAGGAGCGAGTTGATGCGTTGGACTAGGGCGCTTGCAGTTGAATCTACGGACTTTGGGCTCATCGCTTCCTGGCGGTGCAGCACCAATGCAGGCAGGCTCCGGTTAATCCAGACGACTGCATTCACCGCATGCTGTTCTCCACCAGGGCAAAGGACAAAGGCCCCTTCGTATGACCTTCCTAGGATCCTGGCATTGTTCATTTCCACCACCTCGTTCAAAGCAAAACAACTTTCGCAGCAACGGGTGAGCGCCAAATATGCTGGGGGCGCGGCTTCTTGTTGCAGGTCCTGTGAGTTTGACACGGCCACACACTTGCAGCTTCTCCACACGGCAAGCAGGAGCGGGAACTATCAAGCAAGAGCACAAGCCCGAGTCCTCGACTGCTGCAAAAGATTTCTGCCTGAGATGTCAACACAGCTGGGCCCACGCAGCTTACCCAATGAGTGAACAATCAATTGTGGCAGCAACCTGTCCCCCAAAGGCTATAAATCACTGAGCATTCAATTTCGACACGTGACGCTGGGCTATATTTCAACAACGCAAGCATCAGTTCAAGCGAGCCACGCTGATGCCAAGCCTTCCTGCAATTCTTGCACCTTGGCCAGTTGCTTTGACATCCGTGAAAAGGGCTGTTGTCATGCACCACGGAGGGTGTACGCTGGGGTTGTACTTCAGCAATCCGTGCCAGTCTGAATACCAGGTAGCGCCACGTTCTGCGTTTATACATGGGTGCTTTCCAAGTGCAGATGCAGCGCAACAAATGCTTGGCCGCTGCCAACAGCAATGTGCACGCAAACATCTTGTTTTCGCCGCCAGTCTCCAAGTCCACTCTATTCTGGGCTGCCTGGTAGGCAATCTGGCGGAGGCCTCAGACATGCTCCATTCTGAACTAAGTAACTACGCGCAGGGACGTGGCCAAGGCTCAAACGCATCACAGGGAGGCGTCACTCCGGAGAAGGACCTGATCGCACCCCTATTCTGCGCGCTGTGGCATGCCCTACGTCCGGCGGCATGCAAGAACAAGCCAAAGCTCTTCGGCTTGCAATGTGTGGCCGGTTGCAGTAGTAACGAGTGAGTTGATGCTCTGAAGAGCTGCAGCCAAGTGACATGAGAAAGTCATCATGCACCCACTCGTCGGAATCCTCGCAAGGGTCAAGACTATATGCATCAAAACTGGCTGAAAAATGCCTGACCTTTGCAGGGGTCGTGGTGGGAACGATTGATGCATGGGTGCAGCCTCGTACTCTGCGTCTTCAAGCAGGTAGCCCTCCATCAAAGCATCCAACCCCCATACATGATCCTTGGCACTCTCAAGGACTCACTGATTGTCTGTCGTGCTCCGGGGCATTCAACCAGCCTTGGACAAAGCTGCGTATTCAGAGCCAAGGGGCATAGTAAGCCTGCCAGGACTCGAACCGATCCATGAAGGTATCGACCTCACGTTGTCTGCACACTGCAAGACTAGCACTCGACCTCGCCGACGTTCTTGGGGATTGCAGTGGAAGTGAGTCAATTTGGGCGAGAGTCTGTTGCCATCGTCTGGATGTCCGAGTCCTCAGCCTCCTCACTTTTGGGGCTGAAGAAGATCATGCTGCCTGGAGCGCGCGGCTTTGCCGAGGCCAGCCACCTCCCCCGGCCCCAAACTCCAAACATGGCAGCCATGCCTGGCTCCACTTGAAAGCATTGCCCTCGCTCTCGAATCAGCCAGGATGAGATGGCATGGTCCACCTGGTGGGAACTGGATGAACAAACCTTGCGTTCCCCCCAAAAAAAGAGAAAGAGAGAGGGGAAACACCAAAAACGCAAAACAAGGATTCCATCAAAAGTACTCAAAAGCGGCATGCACACAAACACACTCAGTATGTGTCACGCGCACACACACACAACTATTCTAATCAAACAGGTGTCCCGAGGAGGTTGTACCTCAGCCAGCCTGAGGTACAAGTTGGCCACATATCGTGATCCTTCCTAACCTGCCCCCAAATTCCAATGGAGTGAGTTCCCCTCCTGCCTGCCCACCAATGGGAAAAGCATTTGCCAAGAGCGCCTCTGCTGCCTCCTTGCGCACAGCCCAGGCGAAAAGCCCGAAACACGGCTCCCGCATGGGCCGCACGGGCACCTCACAGGCACAGCTGGTGGAACGTCTATGAAATCAGCGGTAGAGTCTGTTGTCGCTTTGGCCATAGCGAGTGAGATGTATTGGATCTTGTGTGCGCTCGTGAAGGCTTAGACAAACTACCGAAGCTTGTGCTGCTAGCTGCCCTCTGTGGTGAAAGGTATGAAAAAGGGCCAAGGTCAAACCAAACACGTGTTTTCCCCTCACCCCCCCCCCCCACCCCCCACCCGCCTCAGGCAGCTCAGCGCCTGCATGGTCGTATGCTGCTTCGTGCGCTCTTCCAGCATCATCGTGAAATCCCAAAAAGAGGGCATCCCAATCCGCAGGCAAGGTGCCAATCATTCGTGCCACCACCTCCTCAGCTCGCGGAACAGCTGCGGCAATATCGTCCTCCAGTATGATGCCCCACTTGGCAGTCGGATGTTGCACAACAGCTTGCAAAGCAAGTCGGTGTGACATGGCACAAGCAATGCCTCCAAGGGTGAGGTGGTTGTCAAAGTGCAGCAGGCGGCCACCACTGTGCACAATTGTGTAAGCCCCCCTTCTGCGCGCATGCCTTGCCCGGTCCAAAGCCTGCTCATCCACCACTTGTGAAAGCGCCTCATCTCGAAGCGTCAAATCCCGGCCGTCCACAGCTTCAATGCGCCGAATGTGCTGCAACAGCTGCGGGGAAAGCTCCAACTTGTTGAGGAGCTCCTCCCTGCGGTCTGGCCTCCTGGCCAAGTTTATGTACACTGCGCACCACTCGGAGTCTGGAAGCGCACCCTCCCAGAACGAGGCCTCAAGCTGAGGAGCTTCCTTCCAGCGCGCCGGCGCTTCTTCCACCAGCACGTCTGAACTGTCTTCGTCCAGGTCTGGAACACAACTCCATCTCGGCCCTCTCTCGTCTGCTACATGCAGATCAGACCATTGAACCGCAAGCGCTGTGCGGCTCCAGCAAGGCTCTGCCCATGGAGGAGCAGGCTGGATCCGGGCGTGGACCCGACGGCTGATGACACGGCCAGTGAAGACCAATGCGCCTCACAAAGGTCTTGCCGAAAAACCAGATTGAAAAGATTGGAAACAGCTCCTAGGCCCCCTTTGCATTGTGGTGGCACGATGGTCCTGCCTAAGGCTGAGCACTGACGGTCATAACCACGGCCATACCCATGCACGCCGCGCAAATTCCTGAGCAATGGCATCATGAGGGAATGTCACCCTGAGCAAATCCTGAGAATTAGCCCGATATGATCTAGCCCGATTATGACAAATTTTGAAAGACTTCGAGTTGAAGTTGGCGCTGCCACGGTACGGCGCCAACCACCGTGCCCGGAGGCGTGTGGCTGGGGGTCGCGCGCTCTGAGACAGCATTGCAGAAAGTCCAGGGCGCGTCCCGAAGTTCATGGCAAACGCTCATGCATGACAAAGGCAACAAGGCATTAGATGGTTACTTCCGTGCTTCATTGCAGTGACCCATGATATGTGAAGGCACGGCCTTTGTCTAATGACAGTGTCAGTGGGGGCGGCTCTTGAGCATGCTAGCTGCTATCTGCACCATCTTGAAGTGCATTGGCTGGTGGCAGTGTGCCAAGTGTGCCTTTGTTGGAGCTATGCCATATGTGCAGGGCACTGGCCAAATCAAGCAAAAGGCCTTGCATCCTGACACTTCACCCATGAGTTCCTAGCCCAGGTTCGCAAGCTGGAGTTTTCCTTCTCCAACCTTAGTGTACCATCGCACCACTCGCTGCTTGTTTGGGCATGGTTTCACAATGCGGGTTTGTCGTTGCTTTACTGCAAAACCTGTGCATGAATCTAACGTCCCCGCCGGCAGCACTTTTGACTGACTTCCTGGTCAGCGACGGCGAAGCAGATTGGCCCCCGAAACGGTTTCGTCAAGATTGCGCCAGGCTCAGCAGCACAGAACATCTTTCCCATTGGCAACTGCAAAATATTACAACATTCAAGTCCGCTGCAAGCTATGCAGGAGGTGACTGTACATGGCAGCTCTGCGTTTGCTACCGAAGGGGCAGATTGAACAAGCATTGACTGTACCGGCGGCTGACATAACACGAGAACATGTGCCTGTCAGCTTCAAAGGCGGAATGCCAAGCCACGCAGTTTCGCAGTTTGCAACTCTTAAAAAAGTGCAGCTCACACACTAGTATTGTGGTGGCATGCACTGGAGTTGCTTGTGTTATAAAGTGAGGGAGGCCCTACGCATGTAGCGCCCATCTCATCTTCGAGCCTCGCACTCATAACTCCCCACCGTGGAGCTTGGGCTGGCTGTAGGGTTTGGCCGCAGGCTCTTCAACGTGAAATCGGCATGACCCAGGACCACAAGGCCCACTGCCACCAGAACAAGCCACAGTGCCTGCAGGCACAGGGCATTGCCCCGGGTGATACAAAAGATCAAAGTCAGGAATATCACGGCCGCAGCAGCTGCTCCGGGCAGACTGGAGTCCGTGCGAAGTTGAAAGTCTGTCTTGAGCATGGCGCTCTCATCGGCATATTCCTCCTCGTGCAGAATCTCCTTTGCAGGGCAAACAGTGCCTGAATAAGCCTTCACACTCCTCACACCTGCGAGACCTAGCCATGACTCGTGACTCATCGGCAGAAAAAGCTTGCGCAGCCTTGGCCTCCTCAGAAGTTTGGTGGACGTCGGGAATCGTGCAGTCCTCGCTCTTCGTGGTGTCACTGCCTGGCAAGGGCGAATGTCTCAAGTGAGCTCCGCTGAACTTGTGTGAGTGAAATTGAAAACTGCCTTTCAAGCATTGGACTGTGGGCAAGCAACTGAGGCTTTGACTGATAAGTCGCTGATAAGTGTTGTCGGGCTCTGCAGGGACCGCTGTGCTTGCTTGGCTTTCGAATCCTCGCAAGGCAAATAACAGCGTTCCTTCCCGCCTCCCTAACTGACACGGCCTCCATGATTGTCTTAACGTTTGCCACAAGTTTGGCTGTGCTCTCGCCTTTAATTTCAACCTCCTGGTGTTTGGACTTTCGACTTTCGGCTGACGCGCATTGTGGTATCTGGAGGAATGACGAATGGCCAAACCAGGGAAACAACTCCTGGACAAAATGGTTGATCTCCATAGTCTGTTGAATCGCTTTGGGACTCAGAAACCAACGCATGCTAGCTGCCCCTCTTGCGACTATCAGGCCCCTTGCACGTTGCATGTGGCTTGCCAAGCTTCGGCTCCAGGCACACTTGCCCGAGACCTGGGTATCCTTGCTATCCTTGTCCTTCCCCCCGTCCGTGCCAGCCATCCCGGGGAACCAGGCAATGGGATTCCTGGGCCGTGCTGGACTTAAGCATAGCTTCAAGCGGGCAGTGAAGCGCACTTCATCAGAAGCGTTTGCTGACAACTTCTTCACTGAAAGCAGGCAGGGTGCTGGCCCAGGATGTCTTCCTGTGCAAAGTGCATAGCTTGCCGCAGGGAGAGAGATTTGGCACAGTCCGAGGGTTGCTGTCTTGAGCCAGCTCAGGAACCATGCGTGCCAAACACCCTATGCAAATCTGCCCAAAATGCCAAATGCCTCTGGCTCACGTGCAAGCGGCAATGCAAAGGCGACTCGATGTGACTCTCCTCGAGCTTTGTCTCAAGGGCTTGCCTCAGTTCCCAGGCCAAGGCTTGTCACAAACCTCTGGACCCACCGGTGTGTGCTGACTTGGCAGTAATAAGGGCCGAGCACTCGGTTGAGCAGCCCAACTGGCATTGGTGTAGGGATGCCCTGCGTAAAGGGATCATGACACACAACAGCCAATCCCCGGTCCGAGGGGAACCAGCAAGAGACACGAGTCAGAACCAAGCACTCCGAACGCTACAATACGATCCGCAACCACTTGCAGTGCTCTGGCCTCCACGCCGGCCATGCCCAAACCTCCACCTGATGCAACGTGCGTTGCTTTTCACGGACTCCGGACGGATGAGCAACTTGAAATTGGAGCGTCCGAGGCCGCAGCGAGGCCCGGAGCCGGCCTTCCCCATCCTAGCGATTTCTTTCCCTCAAATCGGACAGCATCGTGACTCTTGATGTCATGCAAACTGCATGTCCTTCGGCCAGGCCGCACTGGGCCTCCCCCTACTGCAAGCCAACGGCTGCGTCGACTGATTGCAGAAACACAGCCCCGCTGCGGGCGCGCCACTGCTTGCACGCACCTCTGGGATACAAAATGCCAGACTAGTTGACTAGTCAAAAGATTGCTGCGCCCCTGTCTTGAGCAAGGTCCAAACTGTAGAAACGCTCATGGACGTATGCCCAGGTGTTCCCCGCTTTTTTGCGCTTTTTCCCCGGTCCAGCACCCCACTTCGTCCAGGATGGTCCGGTGCCCTCTGGCGGCGCACCTTTGCCTGAGACAAGCAACGTCCAAGCATCACGCTGCGCAGCATGGCTTGGCATCTGGCCATGCAGCCTTGAGTTCAGCTGGCTGAAAACACTGGAGGGCTTGTCCTGGCGGGGGGGAGCTATTCAGGGATGGCATTGCAGCCGGTCGCTACAACTCCCTCATCCGAAATTTCATTTGCGAGGCTTGCACGCCCGAGAAAGGCCCATACTGCCCCTGCTGGCCTGGTGGCTGCCAGAGTTGTGAGGCCTGAACATCGCAGCCAACTCAAGGTCTGCATATGTGCCTCCCTTCGCCAAAGCCAAGCCTCCATGGCCGCTGCCACGTGCCCCACGAGGACATCTCTTGGAAACCCTCGGCAAACTGGGTTCGTGTTCACAGCAAGATCTGGAGTGACATAGGCTGAACCATGTTTGACACATGTGGCTGTGCTCCAAAAAGATGTACCAAAATGGCGTCTTGCCAAATGGAACCAAAGATCAAACCTGCGTCGCCCTACCTCTTTAATTTTGAGCCAAACCCATGTGAGAACTCAGGTGAGGCAATCTGGCCTGCCAGGTCGATTTGCTTGCCGGCATGCTCGACGGCGTGCTGGGCGGCATGCCCTGGCCCTGACCATCAAACGACTGGCCACATACACAATATCCTTGCACAACCGTCGCAACACGATTCTGCGGTGACAGGACTTGCAATCAACCTTTTCTGAGTGGGGGCATGTCAGGTGCAATTCCACTACATGCCGATATCCACGCGCCAAAATCCGCACGTGCAAATATCCCTCCAATGGACCTGGGGAAGAAGCTGGGTCTGGCAAAGCGGGGAGTTTGGGGGGGAGGGTATATCGGTGTACCGATGCGCGCGCCAATATTCGAACGCGCCGATATCCTCCTGCCAGGAGGCTCTCGGGGGGAAACCGAGATCCGGGCGCCCCAGGGCTCCAGGGGGCTAATTACGGGGGTGGATATCTGTGCGCGCCTTTTGGCAGACAGCAGAGTGGCAGCACAATTCTAAAGCACAGACCATGCAGCCGCTTTTTTCATGCTGCGCTGTTTCTTTCACGTCAAGTCTGGCTTCCGACAAATGCATCCCACGCTTGTCCTTGGTTGCAAGGCAGCAAAACACAATCTGTAACCCTCGGAAAAGCTACAAACTCATTTCAACAAGCTGCGAAAGACATCGCCATCGTAGGCAAACTGAACCTCGGGCAGCGCATCCGCAGATCGCGACTCTTCCAGCTGCGTGTCCAGCACCCCCAGTATGAGCTGTCGTGCCACGTGCTCCTGGACAGCAACTCAAGAGCTATGATTCTCCTTGGACAAGTGGGCCGAACGTTCTGCATAGAAGCCTGTGGCTTACGACCTGTCCAAGGCCAATTACATCACTCTTGAATCTCCCCCTCGCACGGCAACCAACACCTGGTCTGAGCAGTCGCACACAAATGCCTTGAAGCAAACACGCAAACGCTGGAGTCCTTTGGCACACGCTCTGCAAACTTCCCGCCGCTCACCAAGCACAGCCGCATCTTGTCAATGCGCGGAGCGGCAGGCCTATGGCATCCAGGCGGGCCCGTGCCCCAACTGAAGCGAGAGCAGCATGTGTGGCTCAAGCCGGAGCTCCAGTCAGGTAGAAGAGCTGAGAATGGTGCGGGCATGCGGCGTTGTAGTCATGGCAGGCAGCGAC